TTAATAAAATATATAAAAATACAAAATCAAATAATTTAATATTTAAATTAATACTACAATTAGACTTGAAATCAAAATTTAACAGTTAAATAGCATTTTATTACAATCCATATAAATAAGAGATAAATTAGTTGCTATAAAGAAATTTAGTTAAGAACCTATCTCCAACCATGCCTCTAACAACTAAAGCAACTAAAGCAAGGACAACTAATTTAAATTCAATTAATGTTAGCTCGGTTAAAATTGTTATTCTCATCTAACAATAGTGAATCCCAATAAACAAATATTAAGAAAATCTTCTCAAAAAAATTAAAAATCCTACACTCGCAGCACTTGTTGTACTGAATAGGGTGTATATATTTCAAGGCTATGACTTTGGTTCTAATCCTTCCTCCCCCAAATTCTCTCCTGTTCAAAAAAAAATAAAAATAAAAATCTCCTAAACGAGAAAGCAGCGAACTCTCATATTTAACCACTCACCCTAAAGCCAAGGTAGAAAAAGAGGCAGCAAAAAAAACGAAAAGAAGAAAATAAAGGATAAAATCAAGGCAAAAGAAGCGAGAGGCGGCTAGACTTCTGCCTCTTTTAATAAATAAAAAATCTGCATTTGCATGGGGACTGCCAGATAGATCAATTGTTTTCTTATATTTGTAAATACGTCTATAGCTAATTTTTATTTTTCAAAAACACCCTGAATTTATTGAAGATTTGTTAGGATTCCTGGAGAAATGCAGAATTTGTCTGGTTCCTCCATGTTCTGGGTTGACATATTGAACTTTGGCACAAACCAAATTTCTTCGCAAATTGACATTGGTTTTTGTCATGATATGACAATCATTAAGGGCTATTACTTCCCACATGAGAAAATATAATTATGCGCCAGTTTATTAGATGTCTTTAGTGGATTAAATTCTTTATTTTTTTAAAAAATATCTTTTAAAACTCTTTAAAAAGAACAAAATTTGGAATTTTAAACATCACTATATAAACATCAAAAGAAGTATATAAGAAGTTTCACCAACCTATATGACATACTAGACACGGCCTAACACGTTTAACATAGACATTTTAATCAAATTAAATTAAGGACATTTATCGACCTAATTTCTTAAATAAACTAATGATTTTCATGTGAATTTTCTTTTATCCTTTTCCTCTGAATCTTGTAGGTAAAAAAGTAAACAGTAATGGGCAAGATTTCGACTTGAAAAGGGTGGGTGGTGGCCTTGAGATAGATTGTACTATATTAGTAGCTGCAGTCTGCAGACCGAAGTTATTGCTACTTTTGGTATAGACGTAATTAAGCCGGAAAGTTTGAATCCCTACGATGGTGAACACCCACCTAAAAAAGATGCGGTTGACATTGCAATAATCTGACATTCTGTACCTGCATTTCCACTCAAGAAAATTGTCCATTTTCGTCGAAGAAGACATTCTAAAAAGAACCAATATCGGGGATGGAAAACCACTCTTCAAAAATTTGCATGGTTCTCCTACTCTTCAAAAAATTTCCATTTTTGGCCAGCATCCAGTCTCTAACAATGTAAGTACGTTTTCTCTTTTAAGTTTGTTTTAAATAAGGATGTCAACAGGGCCCACAGATCGAGAGTCTTTTCCCGTCTCCATCCTCGTAATTGACGGGGATGGGTATCCTTGCGAAAATTTTTAACAAGGGGTAAATTTTCTCTCCCATCCCCGTTTCCCACCAATTAATAAAAATAAATAAATTTTTTACATATAATTAATTAATATTTAATTATAATAAATAAAATTTTAAAAATTCTAGTATAATTAATTAAAATTCTTTAAATATAAATCTAAATATAAATTATCTAAACATAAATAAAGAATATTTAATTATAATAAATAAAATTTTAAAAATTCTAGTATAATTAATTAAAATTCTTTAAATATAAATTATTCAAACACAAATAAAAATCAATCTAACATAAATAACTAAAAGGTTAATAATAGGTTGGATAAAATTAGATTAAATTTAAATTTTATTGAATTTGATTTAAATTTAAAGGTTGAATTAAATTTAAAATAAAACTAATTTACATATTTTTTTAATTTTTCATGGAGATGGGATTCCTATGGGGCCTGCGAGACGAGGAAAATTCCTTGCAAATTTTCACGGAGAGAAAATACTCCCTGTCCTCGTCCCACAGGAAAAAATATTCCTCCCTACCCCGTCCCCGTGATGGGGATTCCCACGGGACCCTACGAGAATCGGGACAAATTGCCATCCCTACTTTTAAGTCAAGACAAACATCTCACGTTATATATATTCAATTTTTTTTTCGTTGATAATTACTAAAATAACACCCTATTCATCCTTAAAAAAAAAAAAAGTAACATCTTACATTATTTAAATTCAAATTTTTTTTATAATTACTAAAATAAAACCCTATTTATCCTTGAAAAAAGAAAGTAAAAATCCTCATGATATTTTAAATTTCAAGATTATTTATAAAATTATTTAAATACTGTTAATAAATTTTTTTATATATTAATTATTGATATTTTAATTGCTTCAATGTCTAAATTTTTGGTAGACTTTTTATGCTTTGAAGCTGATCAAGAGGTTCCCAGACATCACAGCTATCCTATTTTGAATCCCCGGAAAAAGTTTTCTTTCATAATAACACTCAAACATCAGATAGGAAGAAACCAAAAGGCAATTTTCGATCCCCAAAAGGCGTTGTTTTGTTTCTTTAAAAATTCAAGACTGCATATCTTACTCTTAAACTAATGTCATCTTATGACTCTCGAGAAGAAGATCCACAGTATATCTTAAAACATTATTAGAATAAGAAACAACAAATAAAAATAATCACAACACGCCAACAATTAGAAGAAAGTTAATCATGCCTTAAAGGCTCGATCGAGTCAATGATGTGATAAGGTAAAGATAGAATTTAAATACAGTTTTCATCTCTCCCCTTTTTATGGAATCTTGATTTGTGAAAGTTAACCTGAATTACATTATCTGGTAATCAACTGCAATAGTTAGAACGCTATCAGCAGTTCTGCAACAAATAATACAACGGCCCCCATGAAAACACTGGTCAGAAGAAACAACAGCTACCTAAAGGAGGAAAAACCACTAAGTCCATGGAATCCTTAGAACAGCTTGTTGTAGGTGACATCCTGATTCTCAGATGTGTCCTCCTTTCCCCTCCCTCCCAAAAGATACAGTACCATCAGCTGTCAAGTGCACCAAGTGCCTTCATATCCTCCAAGAATGCCATGTATGAGTCATCAATGCTCTGCGTTTTAGGAGCTGCTGATGAGCTAGCTGACTCTGGCCTCACAACAGTAGGAGCTGCAGGTTTGATGGTAGTCATCACATTTGAGATTGATGGCCTTGGTTTTGCTTTTGGAGCAGCAGTCTCTCTCCTCACTCGAACTGATGCAGGAACCTGAACTCAGAACAAAATCAATCATAAAGTTCAAAAATGTGTATGGCAATTCCAGGCACAATGTAACTGGATGGGATGTAACTAGAAGGGTGGTGGGTTCATTGATGTAATAAACAATTAATGATCTAATTACTCCATTATAAGGTTGTGATTGTGAACATATACTGTAGAAGAATATCATGCCAACTATTTAGAAGTCAACTATTGATTTCATTAAGAACTAGGCATATTCTAATGCATGCATATATCACAATGACGCAAAAGATTAAGTACTAAAGCAACACATCTAGTTGGACAAAAAAAGCAACATATAACTATCGATAAACTCACCATAGAGGTGAGTTCTGGTTGATGCTGGGCTAGTGGCCGCTTAACAACAGTGGGTGCAGCAGATTTGACATAGGATGGCTTCTGTGGTGCTGGTGGCCTATTTGCAAAATGATCATCTTCCTGTAGGATAGGTGGAGGACCAGGTGGAAGTGGTGGTCTCATCATAGGGGGAGGACCAGGAGGAGGGCCATAAGGTGGCCTTCCAATTAAGGGGACCATCATTCCAGGAGGAGCTGCTTGACCTGGAAGTCCAGGAGCAGATAGTGGTCCCCGCATGTCTGGAGGAGGGGGAGGTGGTGGGAAGCGTGATATCCCTGGGGGTAAGACATCGGATTGTAGATTTGCTAACATGGAAGGTCCACCAGGCCCTGGGAATTGTTGCCTGGGAGGCGGTGGTGGTGGCGGAATCATTTTAGAGAGATCCTTAGTTCCTGAAGGGTTATTTGAATCAGCTTCTGATGGACTTTCAGGCTGATTACTAGCTGTCCTTGGTGGCATCCCAGGAGGTGGAGGTGGTGGTGGGAGCACAGAAGACACCTAAATGAGAAAAAGAAGAGAGAGTGTTGGAAAATACTTTCTTAAAGACTGCAATAAAGTAAAAAGGAATTAGAAAACTGCTCTGTGTCAGACATTTGGAATTTTAGATGTGGCGTGTATCTTTATATCAACAAACCTCCCAAAACATAAGGCATGTTTATATGCAAACAATGACAATACCAAACTTATAATCTTTCTGGCATATCCAGAAAGAGGACGAATGGGATGAGCCTACCTGATCAGCCTCCTTGGCAGTTGAGTCATCTGACAATGCAGACGGATTTCTCCCCATTTCATTTCCTCCAGTGCTAGGTGGAGGTGGCAGTGCAGACTGCGGAAGTGGGGGAGGTGGTGGAAGTGGAGGGCGAATTGCAGCTTGTTCTTTAGGTGAGGGACCCGGAGGTGGTGGTGGCCCAGGTGGTGGAGGCAAAGGCATGCTCATGTTTGCCACAGCAGGCTTCGGAGGCATCGGAGGTGGTGGTGGTAGAGGCAAAGATGAAGGTCCTAAAGTTCCGTCCCCAGCATTCAGTGCACCGGTATCTGGCAGAGGAGGAGGTGGTGGTGGGGGTGGTGGCAGTACATCTGCAGGAACATCCTCTGATTCTGTTTTTGAGGATGATGCACCAGCACTTGATGAAGCATCAGATAAGGGAATTCTGGGTCCTGTAGACAAAAAAATAAAGTACTTGGGATGTGTGAGAGAGAGAAACAGCTATTATTTAAGTCATAAACGCATGAAATGGTGCTAAATTTCAGTAGAACATAAAAATGAAAAAAGCAGCCAACCTATTGATGATTTATACATAGGTGGCTTCCCAGGTGGTGGGGCGCCTGTAGGATTCAGAGTAGGGTGATAGTAAACAGAGTCCTGCAGCAGAAAACCAAATCACTATATCAGTACAATTAGTTTTATAAGCTCCAATATAAGGAAAGAAAAACAAGATTATAACAACATTTTGAAAGCCAATTAGCTGATTCAGATCTTACTTCAGGCTTGGGGTGCTTTACTCTCTCTTCTTCTTCTGCAGTTGTCCTTCTCCGAGGGGGACCCAAATGACTGCAGCAGAAGACAAACTACAGTTTTTAAATGAGAAACAAGAAATGTTAAGATTAAAAAGGTAAATAAAACAAGACCAAAACAAAATGGGCCTATTCACCTGAACATAACAGGCGTCTCACCCTTTTCTTTCATTTTATCTTCATATTCCTGTCCAACAGAAGAAAGAAGACTGTGGTTATCACAATATAGACAACTAATGCTAATAAATGGCAGAAAAAAAATCATAAACAAATATCATAATTCTCAAATTTTCCAGATTACTTATGGTTCACACCTATACCTAAAATCCAATGTCAGGTTATATATGAGCATGGCTAGGTTCAGAAGGACCTGTAGGAAGACACTAAAGGCACCATTTTATTGTCAATCAGTGATATAAGTCAAATGGATTGTCATGGATCTAGTGAGTACTATGAACAGAGGAGAAACAGGGTAAGCAGAGAGTGTAAATACTGCCCTAATATGCCTAGTACCTTTCTCTTCTTCATAACAAGGTTAAGGGTGTCCTCAAGTTGTCTCTTCTTGTGTTTTCTTGCTTTGTCCAATGCACCTTCAGCCTCTGCAAGAACCCAAAAAAAGTTAGTAAAGTAAATGGTACTCCACCAACCTGAGTTTCAGAATCAAAACAATCTTGTTACGCACGACTATACAACAAACAGCACACTACAAAAGCAACTGCCTTTCTCTATTCCTCAATCACAAAAATTGAAAATGTATAAATCAATCTGAACTTACTCATTGACTCTAACTTCTGAATCTGCTCCATAATTGTCTGAGGATCCTTCTTCAAAATCCCCACCTCCCTCACCTTTTTCCTTTCCTTTTTGTTCTGTAAGCCAAAAGAAAAATTACAGAATATTCAACACCAACTATAGGCAAAGAACACCATTGGGATTAATATTTAACGGTATAAAAGAAATTTTCCATTCTTCCATATTCAAAAATCATGCAAACATGAAAACACGAACTAGGGCAATGAAAAAACGATCAGAAAAACAGAGAAACAATCAATTGATCAAACTAAAGGACTGAGATGGAAGTTCTTGGAGTACAGAGAGATATAAACCCTAAAAAAGTCGAGGAAATTAGGAATTACCCGTTTGAGTTCCTTCTTCCGAAGCTCCTTACGGTAGGCATCCGTAGGGTTCATGACCTTGCCTCCTTTCGTTGTCTTCATCTTCACTTACCTTCTATCGCCTCGCCTTTTCAAGCTCCCGTTTTCTTCTCTTCTTCTTCTTAGAACCCTCGCAGGATTTGAATTCACAAAGAATCCAAACCTTCCTCCGTACCGCCGGAGAGATTGGGAGAATATTAGGGATTTGCCGATCGAATTACCCTTTATGTCCTCGTTGTGATCTGCACAGTTGGGCTGGTCTAGTAAACCAGCCCAAACCCAGATCTGAGTATTTGAAGTTTGGGCCCCCACCCACCTACCAGTATTCAACACTAGATAGTGTTTACACTTAATTTTATAACAAATAGAGTGGTGTCATGTGTCATCTATGTTAACAAGTATTTCATTAGTTGAAAGTTGTAAGTGTAAATCTTTCTAGATAAGATTTAGTGATTATTTTCACAACAGCAATAAAAGTCGTTTGTTTGTTGTGAACTTTCAGAATGATAACCGCAGCATCAACAGATTATTCAATTTGTTTCATATTTCATGCTACCGTTGGTTTTCAAGATGTTGCCGCAAATCTCCAAGCATGCTGCCAAGGGGAGTTTATTGTTATAAGTACATAGAGAAGAAATGAAATAAGAGAGACCAACCTCTCACAAAACAAACTTAGTGCAATTTCTTTTTATACTCAGATTCATCTTAGTTTCAAGCCCTTTAGTTTAGTTTTAGCTCAACACTTCTACCTAAATTAGTTTTCAACTTTAGTTTAATAACTTTTCCTTTAAAATCCCAAAAATTAATTACAGTTATCTGAGGAAGCAATTTAGTTCCCATTTGTTGGTTTAGTAATGGTAAGATTCATTGCCTTCACTGATATTTCTTTATAATTGAATTGCTTCCTTTCCTTTATTGTCTTTTTAGTTTCTTTTAATTTAAGTAAGTGATTACGATATTTAATTTCATGTTTTGTTCATTTTTGTTAATTTATATTTCATGCTGCCAGTGGATTTTCTATGCTTCTAGTTTCATTTACTTTAATTTAATTTATTTTTCTACATTTACATTTCCTGTTTAGAGTTCTATTTCAACTCTAGTTTGCATGTTTAAGATTCCTTTAGGTTTTCGATAGTTTGGCAATCATTTCCTTCTCTTGTAGTCTTAGCTTTTCTCAATTACATTAATTTGAAGGAGTACTTGGAATCATATTTAAGGCATTTTGTGGTTTATTCCATTTAGTGTAGGAAGTTCATCCCTCATTTCTACTCATCATCTGATAATTAAGGTATAGTTTACAATGTTCTCCCATCAACTCATAACTGTGTTCCACACTTGGAAAGAAAAGAAGGTCGTTGGACAAATCTTTTTTGTTTTGAGCAAAACAAGTGGCACACCATTTCATCTATTATGTGTCAAGAAAATTTTTTGAAATAACATATAGCAAGTTAAAAAAATTTTTATGTTGGTTGCAAAATGGAAAGCAAGCCTTCCACCCTTTACTTTACTTCATCTATACGTCATACGACTCGAATTCAAACCCTCTTATTTCTAATGAAAAAAAATTATCATTAAATTATTTACGTCGTTAATAATAATAAGTTAAAATTTTGTGTGGATATAATATATAAAATTTATATATAAATTAATTTTTATTTTTCATAGGTACATAATTATTAT